CCACTTTATTCCTCGGGTTTCGTGGACAAGAACATAACGTTGTTCCAGGAAGATGGAGCACCGTGTCACACTGCTAGAAACACCCAAAAGTGGCAGGAAGAAAATGGTATCCAGAAGTTGTCCTGGCCGAGCCAATCTCCTGACATGAGCCCCATCGAAAACCTTTGGGCCATACTCGACCGGCAAGTCAAGAACCAACAAGAAAAACCAACTTCGAAGAGCGATCTACTCCAAGTTTTGAAGCAAGAGTGGGCGAAAATCCCACAATCTAAAATTGACGAGATGATTCTCACGATGCCCCAAAGGATCAACGAACTCCACGAAGCGAAAGTAAGATCTACTAGATATTAATTAAATTATAAATATATCAATTCATGTAAATATGACTGAAAAATTTCATTTTTTCTGAAAACGTGGTGTCTATTTACTTGTGACCACACTGTGTATATTTATTCAAACTGCAACGTTCATGCATTACAAATTTTAGTAAGAAAGACAATATTAAGGTTTTGAATATCAGTAGAGTTTGTAGATATTGTTATACCTAATTATCAAGGTTTTCTTGTTACATCCCAACGACTGTATTTGCCGTAGTTCGCTCTATAAAAAACATTCTTTAATTTAAAGGAAGTAAAATATCTAGATTTAAACATCAATATCGTTAATCAAACACTCACGCTCAAAGTTTTCAATAAAATGGACACTTTCAACTTTGAAGCTATAAACTTTCCATTTCCAAATAGAAATATTTAAAAAAAATACAGTGTTTACTACTCACAACTTATTAGATACAATATATAATTTGTTCAACGTTACAAGATTTCTTGGATAGAGCTCATAAACTGGGTCTCTTTCTCTTCACACATTATATATCTTCTATCGCATTTTAAACTGATAATTCATTCATTTCTCTGAGATATTCATCAATATTTTTGCTTCTAATTATGGCTTTAGAAGTTTTACACAATATCTCGATGTTTTAAAAACGTTAACATCTACACTTTAATTCTTTTGGGATTCGATTAGGTTAGTAATG